GTCGGGCAAGTCGCTCAAGGAAACTTCTGGGCTGCGCATCCTGGATGATTCGGGGGCTGTGGGCAACAATCCTGATCTGGCCGTCGGGCTCGGTGGCCTCCTCGATCGTGAACATGGCCTTGTATACGCGGTGATGTTGAGCATCCTCAGCAGGCTCGGCCTCCACGACGGGTGTGGATTCGGCGGCGGACTGTGGTTGAGGCAGAGGAGGGGGGCGGAATGGGAGGAAGTCTCCAGACATGGCGTCCACCTCAAGATAGATGCTGGCTTCGCTTCCGTCGGGATTCTTAAAATCCATGCGGTGCACTCCATCGCCGTGGCCTTCTTGTTGCGTGTTGATAGTCATCTGTGCCATGGGCCCTTCCAACTGGTCGATGGTGCTTGAAAGTGTAGACATAGTCTCGGAAACGGTGTTGGATTTTGATCGAGAGGCGAAGATGGAAGCAAACTGCTCGTCTGTTACAGCCCGAGGCATGGTTTGGGTGATAGAGATCGGTCGGTGCAGAGAGAAGAAACTTGAAAGTCCCAGAGCTGGACAGAGAGGTTAGCAGGAAGATCTCGAAGAAACCAGTAAAATCTTTTCGTTGGTGCAAAATGTGTTTTGACCCGGGATTCTTTTGAATTTACCTTCTCCAGACATGTGATGCGTGTTAGGGACGCTGGGCAGGTTCTTCAGAGTTGGATCACGCTCTGCAGCCTTGCGCTTCCTCTTCTCACCCCCAGCCTTGCCCTGGCCTCGAGAGGAACCCGAGGATGCGGGGACAGACTGGCCCGCCGGTAGATCACTCGCTCCATTATCTGATCTCGAAGGCTTCGACGATGAGAACCTCCGCTGGTGGTTGTGGCTAATGAAGGGAGCCGAAGCGGCGGCTTTGGGGGCTGATGATACGAGGGTTGCGGCCAAACCGCTGGCCTGGGGCGCCGCGGTAACCACGCGCCGCACCGATGAGGGCAACATGACTGTGGGATCGAAACAGCCAGGCCGTTGATCGTAGAGTGACAAGCGTTGTAGGGTTGGTGGTGAGGCAGGCGCAGAGACCTTCGACTGAGGCCAATGATGCGTTTTGTCACGTCAAATCCGGATATCTGCTGAGGTGAGTCGGGAAAACGCTGTGGTGGAGCCCCGGCTATGGATGGCCTAAGGCAGCGATAACGGCGACAATGGAATCTGCCTGCAGCGCCTCCACCCACCACCAACACCACAAGAGAGCACTGAAACACCTGTGGCGGCTGCGGCTTATTACTAGGTGGGAGCCTCGCCTGACCGCCTTCAAATGACCATAGATTTAGGTCACGAGCATCTGCTACGTAACTGTTATCTGATGGGGCTCTATCCACATGGGTCGATTTCAGGAGGACAGGCAGGTAACCAGAGATAGATAAGAGGAGAAACCAACGTTAATGGCGCTTGCCAAGCCCACTCTTGCTTGTATGCGCAGCTCAGGCCAGGCCCTCATGGTTCATCACGTCATGGTTACATTGGCCCTCTAGAAGTCTCTCGGGCAAGTTTCGCCGCAGTGGTCCCTTTTGTGTAATCTATCATCTATTATTGATTCTATAATCATGGCCCAAGCGTACAGACAACAATGATGCCCCAGTTCCCTCGAATGCTCGCTTGCAACGAAGACGCATGATTAATGATATCGCATCAAGCCAAGCATCCCAATTAGAATGCGTAAAACACGGCAGCAACACAGCTGGTCTGCCTTCTACTCCACGCTGTTCACCCAGCTGAGGTAACTGTTCCAACCGATGGAAATGACATTGGCGAACAATACACGATGCTGCAGGGGCATGAATGTGAAGTTGATCATCTGAACAAAGGGCCAGACCAACCAGTTCGTCTTCAGCGCCGGCCACCAGGTCTTCTCCAGCCTCTCCTTGGCGCTTGCGCCTTCCATCGTAGCCATGCTGCTCAGGAAGACACCGATCATGACAGGAGCAAAAGCACCCTGGTCACACCCAACGCGTGCGAGAGTCTCGAGGCGTGGTCGTCCAGTGATGGTCACCCTGCGGGCAAGGAAGTTGATCCATGTGGTCACGACAGGGCCAAAGACGACTTGAAAGAAAAGACACACATTAGAGCCGGGGTTCCCTCTATATCTGTTCAAAGTTGGAAATGTGGCGAAACTTACCACCACCGTAGAGGGCCATGCGGCCGGTACGGGCAAGGTCATGCTTCTTCAGACCCCGCTGCTCAACAGCCTGCTGGGCAGTGATGTCTCCAGTGGCGAACAGCACTGCGGTCGTCACACTCTGTGTGAGAAGTGGCTTAGCTGCCAGCTTGGAAGTATACCTTTGTAATGAAACTGAGTTATCTTGTCATGTTGAGGGTGGTGATGATGCTGCCAGTTTGGGTGCTTACCAGCGGAGGAATGACGACATGATGGTCCTCCTTGCAGTGGCTATTGGGTCCTTTGCGGGTTGTGATGGAATGAGCAGTAGCCAAACTGCGAAGACTGGATTCTCAATACGGTTGGCCTGTGTTAGGCAGGCAAATGCAGCGAAATTTGGCGTTTATCTAACACTGCGAGACCGATAGACAGATAGTGCTAGTTCCCTTAGAGTCAGTCCAGGTGGGACCAAGGGAAAGGGAGAATGTGAATGAATGCGACTACTGTCAAGGCGAAAGGGAAAAGAGATTCTCTATGTATGGGACTGGGTGAAAACAAGATATCATGGGGATGAAGGAGGAGGAAGGAAGAAAAGAAAAAAATTGAAAAATTAGGGTCGAAGATCTTGGAGCTGGCGGGCAGCCAATACTCGGGACTTTTTTTTTTCTTCTTTTTATGTATTTCCCGGAGATGTACGTCAATGAAACATCGGGAGGGAGGCTGTCCGGGGATTCAAGGCCTGCGCTGCGTGGGGGCTGGTCAACCACAGCCAGCCAGCCGTATACTATTGAAGGTACCGGCCCCGGCTGCCTGTCAACCACTCCAACGACGCATTAGCAGCCATTGACTCCAACTGATTCAAGAGGCAGCTAGACAATGGATTCCCTTATCAAGTAATTCCGCAATCCCGCTATTAAACCCCCACTGAGCCATCACGATACAGGACCTACCTAATTACCAATCTCAATAGGTACTTGGGCACAATTGTAGGCAACCTGCAATGTCCCAGGAACTGAACACCACGGGAAGCCCACCAAGATTCAGTGAAGTTTGGGTTGGTCAGATGACCAGAAAAGCACAACGCCAGGGCCAGGGTAGAGGGCCAGGTAAATCGGTGGATCGCCGCATCGTGCCGTGCATTGTCTATGCTTCAAGCTTCACCGCGAAATACTTTGCATCGTACACTGCCTCATGCCAACCGGCTAGAAAGTGTCCGGTGTCCTGGTTCGAGAGCCGGATGTCCGTCGTTCTAGGAACGCGAGCCTCAGAGCGCTAGTTTGGCGTCCGAATGCCAGTGAAATTACCTTAACTATTGCAGCTTCTGGGACCTGCGCTTGCAACTTCGCTCTGTTAGCGCGCCCGCCCAGCAGGTGCCAGCGTCATTGGCTGGAGCTTGCGAGCTTATCGGTCGCGGAGGATCCCCTAATATTAATAGGGGCCCTTATTCAGCATATGTAGCACATCATCCAGTACCTCGACCTGCGACTGTTGTCAATGTAACATCGTTGTACAGGGTGTTGCGACATCTATCATTCCATGGATTGAGCTAACAATAGCAGGAGGTGTACCATGTAGATGCCTAATCCTCCCCATCCATCTTCCCTTCCTCACCCATTCACAGTTGAGATATCACCAAATCGACCCAGCCCAGTCGCCTCTGTCCTGTTCATTGCCCAGCTAGAAGCCGCCCGCCATGGCTGACGACGAACCTACGTTCCATATACATGACACCGCAGTGGCCCATCCGCTGCGCTGGGCCCTGATCTTATCGTACCTGCCGGCATTCGCCCTTCTCATTGCGCACGGCTCCCTCTCCCACCGCGTCGTGCCTGCCATTGGCCTGCTTCCATTGAGCTTCTCTGTCGCATCCGCCATCTTCACATATCGGATCCGCTCGAGCAAGCCTGCGCAGCAAGATGAGGAAGCCGACCACGACGAGGATGCCACCACCCCGAGGGAACGATTCCGCATTGCGATCACGCACCCCCTCACCATCTTTGCCCTGGACATCCTCCTCGCCGCCTCTCTGATGATCGTCCTCGTCTTCACATGGACCTCGCATACCAGGAGCGCGTCGCTGAGCATGCTCGCAGCCTATGCAACGATACCCCTACTCATTGGCTTGTTCGTCTTGACGCACCCCCACTATCCCAATCCGAGATGCAGTACTGACCCTGTCCATGACAGCTTCACCCACCTCTACCTCGCCTCCGTAGCTCTCTACGAAGGCTTTGCCATCCTTGGCCTCGTACAATGGACTGCTTGGCGCGCCGTGCCACCTGATTGTCCCAACTGCAACGTGCGCCTCCGCCCTGAACTCCCCGAGCTACCCTGGCTGAAGTACTTCCAGCGGCGTCGGTCTCCCGATTATGCTCCTGTGCTTGCCAACGACGAGGAGCCCTACCGCGATGAGGTTGAGAGCACCGACGGCGTTGCCCAGCCCGAGGCGGTCGATGTTCGAAAGAAGGACAAGAAGGGCAAAGCTACGACTCCCGAGCCGTCGGGCGAGTCAACGCCCTGGGACGCTTGAGGGGAACGCCCCACGGCTTCGCATCACAGTCCTTGATGCAACATGAGGTTATCTAGCACGTAGAGACTTCTCCGACGGTGAAGATTTTGAGATATTGTGGTTCGGTGTTTGCTTGTGCTTTATATTTATCTGCCAGTTATCTGCATTTTCCCCGTTCGATTACAATTCCCCGCCATCATTTCATGAACATTCAAGTTCGGCATTATACCCAATTCCTCGCAATGCATTTCATGTTTGGTTGTCTGTTCTTCGGCCGTGATCAGAAAGCCTGCTTTCTGTTTGTTGGTCATTTCGTCATGTCCCATCCACTGGATAGGATTCGGTCTTCTATATATCATTATCAAGAGAATCCAGCTTTACACTTCAGTCTCAATCCCAGCCTGCCCAGTTGTGCGGTCAAAGGCTCCGGATACTCGCTTCTCGAGGCCCTCGACTTTGTTCTTCACCCACTTGGCGGTCCGAGGAATCTGTGATCATCTGTTAGTTCATGTTCGAGGACCGGGTGTGTTTTAAATCGTGCGCAATTAAGCCTTACCTTCCACTGCATTAATCCCCGGTGCCGCCTATGCAAAGCCTTCTCGCGGCGCTTGTAGTCCCTGATTTGGTCGATTGGGCCTTGCTTATCGTTGGCACTTCCGTCGGGGATGTCTCTCTCCCCATCAGAACTGTCGCTGTCACTGGACAGCTCCGCGTCGACGATTCCGATCTTCCTCTCGATCTTGTCGAGATCCTGGTTCTCCTGTGCCGTATTTATGACTTCGACGATATCGCGGAGATTCTGGTCTTTGTTTGCCCATGCAGAGTGAGCCATGCCCTGTGCGTACAGTTGTTAGTCGTAGATCTGAGATGGTGAGTTCGTAAGCAGGGGTTCATTTTGACTCACCAGCCCAGCCCAGTAAATAAGTTTCACTCTCAAGGTTCCGATCTTTTCGCCTGGTGCTTCTAAACTGTTGGAGCATGCCCTTTTAAAATCACCCTTCCACACGGGAAGCTCCAGCTCCTGGTCCTCCTCGTCCGGCACATCCCTGAGCCACAGAACACAAAAGGCGACAACGTCGTCACCAAAGACTCGATTGTGCTTGAAGGCAATCGACACGCAGCTGCTATAGCGCTTCTGCACCGCCAAGAGAACACTCTCCTCCTCGGACTTGGGCTGCCAGCTGTTCTCGTTCTTGCTCGCGTACATCTTCCCGGAGCTGAGGTTGCTCCTGAGCTTCAGCTTGGAGCCGTAGAGCTCGCCGGGCAGCCCGTGCCCCGTTATGAGAGGCTTGACCTCGACAGTGCCGAAATCCCAGCCCAGGAGGTTCCGGGGCGCCTGCAGCTGCACACTCCGCCAGACCATGGAGAGCCTGACCTTTCCGTGGCCGATGCCGCCGGCGAGCGGCCAGGTGCCCGTGACCTGCGACCTCTCCTTGAAGATCTCGTACAGAGGTAAGTGCACCATGCCCAGGAGGGGGTCGTCCTCGTCCATGCGGGAGTCCCGGACAGATACGAAGACCTCGGCATCGCGCCAATCGCGGATGAACCTCTCACAGCCGGCATTGTAGAACGGCTTCGAGTTCTGGGGCTTCGTCCTCGTCCTGTACACCTTATGATGGTTGATCAAGATGGTGCAGTATGCGCTGGGCAGGCCCTCGTGGCCTTGCTCCCTCTCATCGTCCGACTCGAGGTGCTTATCCGACGAAACCTTGCTCAGCTTCTCGACTTCCAGGCCGGTGATGTTATGGACCTGCAAGCTGAAGATGCCGCTTGGGTAGCCATCCGGAGGGGGCGCCGATATGATCATGGCGTCCTGCTGGGCCTTGAGCTCCTGCTTCTTCTGCTGCTTGAGCTCGTCCTCGTTTCTCCCCGTCTTCCGCTCCTTGAAGATGGCCTCACGGAGCTTCCGCTCGCAGTTCTCGTCGACCTTGGCCCTGAGCTGCTCCATGGATCGAACGGCCGGGTCGACGGTCTGCTTGTCGAACTGGGATTGCTGGATCCTGGCCTTGGGGAAGTATCCGACGCTCCACTCGAGCTTTCCCGGCATTTCGTCGCCAGGCTTGAGTGCCCTGAACCCGTCGGTGCGGTCCCACATCTTCCCGTGCGAATCCTTGTTCGACATGATCTCCACGAGGCTCACTTCGATGCGACCGAGGTCGTCGTCTGCACTGAACCGGTCCGAATCCCACAGCTGCACCCTCAGTCTCTCCTCCACATTGAGTTCTGCCAGCGTGACCAGCATGAAGAATGTCTCCTCCCAGCAGGGCTGCATCTCAGAGAGCATGATCCGCGTGCTGGACACGACCTTTCCGAATTTCGCCCAGCCCACGGATACGTACGGATCGGAACTGCCATCCTTGACGAGAGGGATGGCCGAGTCGCCCATCTTGAAATCGTAGCCTCGCTTGATGTGGATCACCAGGACTCCGCGGCCGTGCGTGTCCTTCTTGAAATCTTCACCCGAGAGCATATCCTTGAGATCGAGTGTTAGACTTTTCGGGGCAACGTACTGGGCCATCGCCGCGTCCACCGCCGACTGGACGAATTTGCTGATCAGGGGCACGTCCATGATGTTCAAGCCATGCTTGCTAAGAGGCACACAGCTGAGATTGACTTTGGGTTGGCCGAGGAAAGTGATTGTGCAGAGCTCGAAAAAGGGGGGGTCGGGAGTCAGCTGCAGCCGCAATCTCATGGTGCCCACGATGCCGTGGAGGTCAACCCACACAGGGATCTTGATGTTCCCTGGCAGGAAGAAGGCAAGGTAGATGTGCATGTCTTTGGACTTTGCCTTGAAGCTCTTTGACTGGCTACGAGTTCGGTAAGCAAAGGCGATCTCCAAATTGATGAACTCCCCTTCCTCCGCGAGCAGACCGGGCGAGACCAGGTCCTCATCTGCCTCGTCTTGGTCGGCATTTTGGTCGGTCTGTTCCCCAGACTTGTCAGATTTGACGACGCTGCTCCCCTTGCTGGACTTCTCGGAGCTCTTGTCAGAGGTGATTTTGCCGTCCGCCGTGACAGATTCGGTGGCAGCACCCGCCGGGAGCCATCGAACGCCGAGAATTCGTACGGCCTCGCTTCCTTGCCCAATGTCGTCCACGCTCACCATGCGAATGAATTTGGGCAATGATGCCTGCATAACATCCTCAAGGGTGTCTCCCAAACTGGCAAACAGGTCTGGATTAACAAGGGGCCACATGGCTCCGAGGAGCGAGTTGAGCCAGACTGTGGTCTCCTTCTCGTACTTTGTGGCCGACTGGACGATCTGCTGCCGCTGGGCTTCCCAAACCTCGTCTTCGAATACCGCATCGACTCTCCTGCCGACCCAATCCTTGACGCCATACACGAGAGCCCAGAGAGATCCTATAGCCCCCGTGGCAACACCCAGCAGAACCGCCATATCTATCAACGTGAGCCTCCGGTCAACCCTTGGAAGCTGCCTCTCCAGAACAAACGCCCCGAACAATACCAAGACGGCGCCGGCCAACCCCATTGCGACACCCTTCTGGTGGATAGAGGACAGTTCCTGACGCAGGGCGTCGAAGCTCGGGGGCGGGAACCGATTTGTCAAGATTTCATGGCCCATCTGGATATGCTGCTGCTCCAGACGCAGCTTCTCATCCGAACTCCTAGGAGACAACCTGTTGGCAATCCTGTGCAAGAGGCCCGGTGTTGCGCCCTCCACGTCGGCCTCCTGGAGCGCATCCTCGGTGAAGTCGTGGATGGTGATGGGGAGGTGCGTCACGGGGTCCGTCACCAGACGCTCCGCCCTCTCCTTGTCCCAGGCCTTGCTGTTCTTCCGCCGCTGCCTGGCGTCAGTCGCTGCGGGGTCCACCTCGGAGGTGTCTTTCAACATCTCGGGTCCTTCCTGGGGCTCCGCGTGCGTCTGGCCCGGCTCCTCTAAGGCGTTGTCGGCCTGGTCACCCGGCGCAGCGCCAGAATCTGTGGTTGCTGACGCATTGGGGGCAGCCTCGGGTTGGTCACATGTCTTGCTGACATCGACTGTGCTGTTGTTGAGGGCTTCCTGCTGCCGGGCGGCCTTCTCCTCGCGGTACCTGGCTATGGTAGGTATTGGATTCCGGGCACTGTAAGGTGCCTGGTAGCGTCGACGCTCATCGGGGTCGTCTACGCCGGACATTTTGCGCTCTCAAGTTGGTTGTGATACAGGACTCCAGGATGTAGGAATGGGAAAACACACCCGCGGGGCAGGGTTAAACGGGGCCAATGGCAATGCAAACATGCGCTTATTGGGAGATTAAGAACATTGGGGAAAAGAGCAGTTAGTTGCAGGTCCTCCTGACGTCGTAAGGGAAATAAGTTCAGAATATTTTGGCCAAGAGATTTTCGCTGGAGAGCCGCGTAAGATGCGGGTGAAACGGCAAGGATTAACACCAGGCAGAGGTACTAGTGAATTGGCTTGATGCGAGGCAGGTCTGGAATCCAGTTGGCTTGGATTTTTATGCTCATTAGCTAACCGAGACGGACTGAAAGCATAAATCCTTCGGCAGCTCGCTGGACGGGGAGGAAAGCACATCTGTTGTACATCTGCTCTGGTGAGCGAGCTGGCCAAGATGCGGCGCAACGAAGAGGTTACGTCATTAGCTCCATGCCGTATATATCCGCTGTTGGTTCTGCTGTTGGTGGCTGTTGGGGCAGGCACGATGGGGATAGGGCAGCCGGGATCCGGGGTCGTCGCCCACTGCAACACTCACTGAATTCTCTGATACAACCGCTGTGCGATGCCTTGACAGTGCTTGAGTGCGTATGTCGCCACGTGGAGCCGTTGATGACGGGCTCTTCCTTGTTTCGAGAGTCGCAGACCTCTGGCCGATCCCCTTCTTCACGGGAATACATAATGCTGCTGTCATTGTACAGAAACCTCCAACGCCGGATCTCGATGATCGGCAATGGGCGGGACGAATCGACTATACGCCAAGACCACTGGCATGTCCTTGATTCATGTCAATTAATCAACGCGTCTGACCCCAGATTATACGGACAATACGCAATATTCTAAAGTTGCTTGTTTCCGAATGACTATGGTTACTCGTGTCCGTCAAAGATGCCAATTCAACTACCTCCTCATCTTTCATGTCAGAGCTGAACAGTCCCTTTCTCAACTCTAAGGAGCGTCGATAACCAGCCGTTGTCATGGGTTAACCTGGATTCTGTACGCATCTGGTCAAATGAGTGTTTGTGTGAAAGAAGCTCACAACTTAGATAACCTGAGGTCCTCTTCTGTACGCATTGCATCAAATTCTCCGGGATCACCAAATGCAGCCACGTCTAGCTGCTAGCTTCCAGTTATTAGCTCCCCGTGATGATCTACGTGGTGGCGCCACGTCAAATTAAACTCTGCTGCTCATCTGCCTCCATCTCAACCTCCCTACCCTGTATTGCCTTGCATTCGTTAAAGTGCTCCTTCCCATTCCATTGATCCGTGGAATTCATGCACTCCGGTTCCAATTCTTCCGTTGCATGATGTAGAATTTTTTCCACTCACATGCATTTGATGATACGTACGCGGCGTCGTTAGGCCCTTGTTGATATGCGAATGCATGCATACCTATTATTACTTGCCGAGCTAGGTGACCCTGGAAGGGGTTCGCATTCAACTAATCACCCAAGCGTCGAAGCAATGCCATCATCTCCGGACAGACCAATACCTGGGTCATAATCTTTATCACGGAAAAGAAAAGCCAACTCGTCTATCACACTAGAAGGCCACGAGGGCTCATGAGATATGGTCTAGCGCAAAGTCGTACGAGCCTGATTGCTGCGGTGATGCAGCTTGAGCTGGGTGGTGCTGTGTGACGAAGCTGTGAAGGCCGGCCCTTGGCACATCCATTAACGGGTCGTCACACCCGGCGACGAATCGAACCCACGTTCTAAGCGTCGTCGAGAAGCGGTGATGAGAACAGAAGGAATTTTGGACCTCAAAGCGCCTGATGGCGCCAGTAATGAGGCGTATGGATGTCGACGACCGGCCGGGCGCTCACCTTGCTGCCCCTCCCTCCTCCTGACCTTTGCATCCTGAACTATCGATGCCAAGTGCGGGAGAGAAGATGTCGTAGCGGCCTCTTGGGGCATCTGCTTCCTTTTCACTCGACTCTTGTTGGCCCAGGCCTGGTTGTAAGCGCCGAACCCCTGGAGCGTCGACTTCGGGAGGGGTGCCAAAAGGGGCCAGTGGCAGTTGGTGTGGCCACTAACCGTCCAGCCCGCAGCGACTCGGTGGGGTCCTGCATTGTTCCAAATATACCCTGGCCACTCAGCGGCCTTATCCGGGGGGCTACAGGGGCTACAGGGCCTGCATGGCCTGCCACCAGCCTTTTCTAATGCTGCGTCGGCGCTTAAGGCTCCCCTGCGACATCCCGTCGTAACCTATCGACACATCCCCAGCACCACATGCGCATCATGGCATTGAACGCCGGTTCCCAGGAGAGTGGCCCTGCTTGTTTTCCATTATCTGTCGATTCTTTCCCTTTAACCTTTGGCTCAAGCCCACCTTGAAAACAACCCCCCCAAAACACGAGGCAAATCCTGGCCACCTACAACCAACAACCTCAACTTACATATCCTCGCGCCTACCCACAACAAGATCTCCAACAACCAACAACCACTTCTACCTTAATTTGGATTTCTGCTACTACCACCAGGGCGCTTCGGCCCATTGTTTCTTACTGTGGCCCAAGTCAAGCAAGCAATTGGTAGATCCGACGTTCTGGATCTACCACCTAGCGTTAATCCCATTTCCGTCACCCAACCCACGACCGGGACCAACATCTCGCTTGCACCCGGCAAGACTCCTTGTCTGTTTCTGTCTAGCCCTCATCTTCACTAAACATCTGTTGTATCTTATTGTCATCTGGTTGCTATTTTCTCGGTTATCGTCTACGTACAACCCTGCAAAAGACTCGCTTCTCTGTTACACTGGACCGCTAATTCATTGCCGCTACGGACCACCAACCTCGCCTCCGGACTGACATCTTACTCTCGTCCCCGATCCTTAGGACGATAAAGCTACTCTGTTATTGATAAGAGTGGGAAAGAGACAAATCATTCCCTACAAACTCCCCTAATCCCGCCAGCGCGGCTCCTATTTTAATAGCTCGTTATCAACATTATCTCAAGAAGAGTGACTATTATCCGGCCACGAACGTATCCGAGGGAATCTGTAATTTGGGCATACAGCCATATTTAAAACGTTCCAGAAAAGTCAGTGACCGTGGATCCCTCAGCGTTCGGAGGTTCTTGGGATAGGGAAAGCCTTAATCGAAGGCAGGGCACCGCGATGGGCGGTCAGGGAGGATTGGGTGGGCTGCTATTGAAGCAGCTCAGACCGGCGAAGTTGCTGTTCCATATCCTCTTTTGGGGATTTCACTTCGGCATCTTCGCACTTGGATGGTGAGTCAATCTCCCGATGATGGGACTTGATTGTCTTCCCCTGATGTTAGGCTGTCCTCCGATGATATTCCAGAAGCTGACGTTCGCCTTCTTGCAGGTGGCTACAATACACCAACGAGAAGCTGGCTCCTCTCAACCTGCTACAATATTCAGTATGGATATCCCGAGGCGCCGGTCTAGTTCTCAGTGTCGATTGTACCCTTATCCTCATCCCGGTGTGCCGCACCATCGTGCGATTCTTCCGCCCCAAGCTGCGGTTCCTACCCCTGGACGAGAATATTTGGTTCCACCGCCAGGTAGCGTACGCGACTCTAGTTTTCACCATCATCCATACGGCTGGCCACTATGTCAACTTCTACAATGTTGAGCTCACCCAAGTTCGAGCCGAAGCTGCCGTCCAGATTCACTATGCTCAGGCCGGAGGCATCACGGGCCATGTCATGCTCTTCTGCATGCTGCTCATGTACACAACAGCCCACCACCGCATCCGCCAGCAGTCATTTGAGACCTTCTGGTACACCCACCATCTCTTCATCCCTTTTCTCTTGGCTCTCTACACCCATACTACAGGTTGCTTCGTCCGTGATTCTGTCGAGCCTATTTCGCCCTTCGCAGGACAAGAGTACTGGCAACACTGCATCGGATATCTAGGTTGGAGATGGGAGCTTATTACCGGTGCTTTCTACTTTGCCGAGCGCATATGGCGTGAAGTGCGATCTCGCCGCGAGACCAAGATTACCCGCGTTGTCCGCCACCCTTACGATGTCGTCGAAATCCAGTTCTCCAAGCCTTCCTTCAAGTACCGCGCTGGCCAGTGGCTCTTTCTCCAGGTGCCTTCCATCTCCAAGCACCAGTGGCACCCCTTCACGATCACCTCGTGCCCTTACGATCCCTATGTCTCGATCCACGTGCGCCAGGTCGGCGACTTCACTCGTGAGCTTGGTGACGCTCTTGGTGCGGGAGCCGCCCAGGCCAAGATGTATGATGACGTGGACCCCATGGGTATGTACGAAATCGCCTTGGTGAACGGACAGGAAATGCCCTTGATCCGCATCGATGGGCCCTTCGGTGCCCCCGCCGAGGACGTGTTCCAGAACGAAATCGCTGTTCTCATCGGCACTGGCATTGGCGTCACACCCTGGGCGTCCATCCTTAAGAACATCTGGCACCAGCGTAACTCTCCCAATGCTCCTACCCGCCTTCGTCGTGTAGAGTTCATCTGGGTCTGCCGTGACACGGGCTCCTTCGAATGGTTCCAGAACCTCCTCGCCTCACTCGAGGAGCAGTCCAATGACGCCGCCCGCGCCGAGGGCGCAAACGGAGTCGAGTTCCTGAAGATCCACACCTATCTCACCCAGAAGCTCGACATCGACACGGCTCAGAACATCATGCTCAACAGTGTTGGCGCCGATGCGGACCCTCTTACCGAGCTCAAGTCCCGCACAAACTTTGGTCGTCCCAACTTCAAGCAAATCTTCACCAACATGCGTGAAGGTATCGAGAACAAGACATACATGAATGGCCTTCAGGGCCAGACACACACCACCGTCGGGGTCTATTTCTGCGGTCCCTCCGTTGCAGGTAAGCAAACCTACCTCCCTTCCCTCCGCCTCTGCTACGTGATAACTGACTGGATTTCCCCCTTTTTCAGCGCGAGACATCAAGTCTGCATGCAAAGCCGCGCAGTCAAGTCGAGTACACTTCCCATTCTGGAAAGAGCATTTCTAAGCCGCC